TTCCCCAAATGTTCACAATGGCAAAGGCTGTGCTGCACCTCCATCAGGACTGAGCCAAAGCAGGACCAAGGCTTGAGCCAGGAGCCAGAATGCAACCGAGGCCTCCGGCGTGGGTGGTAGTGACCCAGTCGCCTTAGCCATCCCCACTGGCTCCCAGAGTCTGCATTGGTGGTTATCTGGGGTGAGGAAGCAGCTGCAGTCAGAAATCAAACCCAGTCATTCCAATCTAGGTTGCAGGTGCCTCAACCAATAGACTAATGCCTGCTCCCAGGGGGGGAAAATCTTTTCTTTTCCCTGAGATCTATGAATATAGATTTGGGGTTTGGGCTACGTGTGATGTTTGTGGCATGTTTCTGAGCCACAGGACTTCTTTGCACAAGGGGGGAATGAAAGAACTTGCTGGAACTAGAGACTAGGAAAGTCAGAAACAAGGAATATATATTTTTCAACTTAAAAAGAAAAAATAGACACAGTCTTTGATCTCAGGTCTTAGGTGAAAATGGCTATAAAACACCTTGTGTTTAGCACCTAGTGTAGCTCCGTTGGGAGGCATTTCCTTGTAGAAAGCCATTCTTGGTTATTCTGCTAACCGAAAATGGATCACAGAATCAGTCAGTTTCTCAGAGGTAAGAGGCACTGGAGGAGTCAGAGTCTGGGTTCCACACCCACTGAAGAGCCTCATCTGGCACAGCCTGGTCGGTGATAGATGGGTGACACAGGTCTCAGCCTCTCTTGTGACAGGGACTTTACTAATTCATAAAGCAGCACACTCTGGGCAGGGCAGCTCTTGCTTAGAACACCTTGCACATCCTCAGCTGCAGCTTTGATTTCTGAAGCTGTGCCCATCTCACATGATCCCACCCTCTTCAGCCACTTTAAAAGAAAAATTTCTCCTGAATTAATTAATGGATCACAGCAAAAGAAGCCAAACACCCCCATTCTTTCCATAACCGAGCATCACCCTGCATACTTGGTGCATGGTGTGGTACCCAAGATACACACAGGGATAGGACACGGATTGGCCTGGAGGATCTCGAGCTGGGCCTGCCTGCAAGTTCAAGGCTAGAAGGGGATGTAAGCTATTGGTTGTAACAGAGATGTCAGATTCCCCAGAGCAGCTGAGGGGCTTAAGACTTTGTTCATTTACAAACAACACTTAGTGCCGGTGCCGTGGCTCACTAGGCTAATCCTCTGCCTTGCGGCGCCGGCACACTGGGTTCTAGTCCTGGTCGGGACGCTGGATTCTGTCCCGGTTGCCCCTCTTCCAGGCCAGCTCTCTGATGTGGTCCGGGAAGGCAGTGGAGGATGGCTCAAGTGCTTGGGCCCTGCACCCCATGGGAGACCAAGATAAGTACCTGGCTCCTGCCATCAGATCAGCACAGTGCGCCGGCCCTCAACACGCCGGCCGTGGCGGCCATTGGAGGGTAAACCAACGGCAAAGGAATACCTTTCTGTCTCTCTCTCTCACTGTCCACTCTGCCTGTCAAAAAAACAACAACAACACTTATAGTTATTTATAATTGCCTGCAGTTAGGTACTTCGCCTTTTCTTGCTTTATGTGGAGAGGTCAAGTTGAATAGGCTTCCCCTCAAAGGTGGATCAACTGGAAATTTGGACTTAGAGGTTATTCTGTTGTAAATTTATTGAACAAATCGTCTGAGCTTAGTTTCTAAGGTAAAGAGGAATAGAAAGTTTTGCTGGCAATGAGGGAACTCGAGTCAAGCTTTGGGATGAGATCTGTATGGGAAACACTGGGTGAAGTATGTCCAATCCCTAAAAGGTAAGAGATTACTGGTGTTTTCTGAATACTCAATGGTAGCTAACAGTGGAGTCGTTGAGGTTTGGTGGAAGGAACCTGGATCATTGCTCGGAAGACCTGTGTTCACAGCCTGAGCCTGCCATCTGGTTCATTCACTTACTTTTTCATTTGTCATTTGTTAAACACTCGTGGGCTTTCCAGATCCAGTGATAGGCACAGGGATACACCTGGGACCTGCTGCCCCATGTGGAGCATGCGCTCTTGTGAGGGGGACAGATGACATGTGGGAAAGCACAGACATCAAAGCCCAAAGGCAAACCAGAGTCTATAAGGGGCGACCCCAGCCAAGACTTGGGGTGCAGGAGGTCTAGAAAACCATGTCTAAATAGAGAGGTGATAGAGGACAATTACTGCCTGGTGACCTCACAAAAATCTCTCTGAACCTTCCTTTCTTATCTTTGAAGTGGAACCATCAGTACTAGTCCCAGCTAACCCACTATGGCAGAAAGTTGTGAGGAGGCAATGAATGAATTTTTGTGATGAGTGCTTTGTGGAGCAGTAAAGTGCTCCCTTGCTGCAAGGCATGTTAATAACTGTTATCAGATATCGTTATGTCCAGTCCTAGACTTTTTCTTCTTTCCATACACACAGATTTCACTGCCTTAAGGACAGCAGGAAGAGATCAAAGCAACAGACTGGGGCAGGGAGATTTACATTGCTGTAATTATCCGTGCAGCGAGACCACCCCGCTCCCAGGATTACTGGGAGAAAGCGTGGGACAAGGCTCTCTTAACCATGTGAACATGAAAGAATGGGTATGCCTCACTTGGGCCCCATCTTTTGGAACTCAGTCATTTGCGTGAAGAGAGTTGTCTATACTGTTTTGTGAACCTCACTAACATTTCAATGGACGAAAAGGGCAGAAGTGCCCCATTTGTCCCAAGCAGAGACACGCGCACCTGAACAACTTTGTGTGACACAGATTTAATTCTAGTCCTGATTATCCACCTATTCCCAGGAAAATGCAGTAGCCAAGTTATTTCCAAATGTTAGCAATTCCCAATTCCAGGTGTAACTAACATTAATTTTCAAATGTGGTGAGCACATTTTGCATGGGGATCATTCTCCATTGTTTTTTTTTTTTTTTCCCCTGTGATTTCGGTCACGTGTCATGGTTTTGCCCATGCCCCTTCAGTGGACTGGAAACCCAGTGAGCATTTTAGTAAGTTTGAAGTTAGCATAAAGAACAAAAATGGTGCTGTCTCTCTTCCATAGGCAGGCTCCCTTCTTTTTCTTCAGTTCTCCCTTCTCCAAGACTAAGGCAGTGGACAGCGTTTGTCTTCGAAGCCCCTTGCACCAGGAACATTCCACATGCCTGTGATGTTTGCCTTTTTCCTGCCTACACCTTCAAGTCATAAGAAAGCCAGGCCACTTGCATTTTTCAGACCTTCACTGAGAATCCAGCTGCCCGAGAAGGTCAGGTCTGGTAGCCTGGGCTGCTATTTCAATCTCTGTCAGACCAGAGAATCTTTGTTTAAAATTATATTTTGTTAATCCATCATGTGGATGCGGAGCTTGCTATTTTTAATTCATGCTCTGCACAGCTCAGTTATTCATGGCTGAGAGTTGGCCACAGAACTTCAGAGCTGCACTGAAAAACAAAGAGCTGTAGAGAAGCAAGATGAAGGTGTCTTTCACAGTCTAAAAAAACTCGGAGTGGGCCAGTGAAGGGATGGGAGTTTCTCTGTCTTGATTTGCTTATTTATTTATTTATGTATTTATTTATTCTGGTTCCCAAGTTTTATTCAGGAACCTATACAAAATATTCCAGATAAATAAGTTTTAATCCTCATCTTTCTCTCTCTCTTTGGTCCTGCTTAATTCGGAAGCAACATAATTTGTGACTCTTTGTGTTACTGGTTGGCTGCCACCAATCTCATACTGGTCTTCTTCACATATGTTTTGGTGAGATATTGCAAAGGTCCTTTGGAAAAAGTCATCTCAGAAGTTCCTTGTTCCTTTGATGGTTCCCACCCCTTCATCCTCTGCATGAACAAGTGAAGGAAGAGCCAACCTCAGTACTTATTTGGATGGCAGGCTCCGGTGGGGCTTTCTTGGGTCATTTGTCAAATCCAGAAATGTGCATTTTTATTACAAGGCTTGGGTTTTTTTTCTTAACATCTTCTTATGATTATTCTTTTTTCTTCATATTTCTTTCCATTTCCCTTCCTTCCCTTAGATCTGCACACAAAAGAGACTTGAAAATGGAAGCACTTAATTAAGACTCCAGTTTCTATAACTATATTTGCAACAACTCTTAAGTGATGCTGCGAATCATCGCTAGTTTACACTGAGATATGTAATTGTACCAAAATTGCCTGTGTGCCGACTCCCTGGACTTTGAGGGATGGTATTAGTTCATTCATTCACTCAGACATAATTATTAAGGTCAGAATATGGCTCAAGAGGTACATTAAATGCAGTGTTTGCAAAGGTACACAGAGAAAGCACTCGCTCTTGAGTTCATCTCCTGGGTCCCAGAGGTTATAAAGTCTCTGAAGAGACCAATCAGGAAATGATGGCTCCTGGTCAACTTTCTCTATTTTTCCAATTGAACAAGGGATATTATACCATCTTATCAGAGTTCTAAGAGAACCTATGCAAGGTATTAAGCTTCACCATTAATACACAGGCTTACTGAGGGTCAGTGAGTCATAGAATTGTGATTTAGCTGATGGAAGGAGAACAGACAAGGAAGAACCACAGCAAAACCAATCATTGACACAGACTGCCATGGCCCAGAGCTAAGGCCGGACTGGGAGTAACTCCTGCTGACCACCTGTTGTCTCTCTATGATTATAATGAATATCACAAGAAGAGGTAGAAACATGGGGACAGCCATGCATCATCCACGCTTTTAGAAATTCACAAAGGTGGCTATACATTTCTGCTTGAAGTATTTCTAACTGTACAGCACAAGTCAGAAATAAACTCGAAAACCTTTGTGATTCAGGGGATACCTGCTTCAGCCAGCTCTCTCACAGAGGCCTGCCATTGGATCATAAGAGAAGTGTTGATGGATGGGAATGGATTAATCTGTTCCAACCACTTGTGTGGCTTATACTACTGCTCAGGTGATGAGAAGTCAGGGCAGCATGGCAGAGGGGCAAAAGTCAGAGGTTTAAGTAGTTTCCTCGTTAGTTCATCAGTGTTTATATAGCACATGTCTTCCCTTTTCCAGACTGGACGTGTGAGAAAGCTTGTTTTGGACACCAAAAGCAAGACACTACCTGGTTATGTCAAAATCCTTCACTCAGTACTTGATTCAACACACAGAAGGGATCCTTGTGTAGGGCCAAATGTTGTGGTGAATTCCAAGATGAGCCAGACGGAATCCTCACCCTCAACAATCTCCTGGTCTCAAATTTGCACTCACAATGATTAAGCACAGTCAATATGCATTGGTGTCCCAGGTAAGCTTTGGAATGGGTGCAATGGAGGTTTCCGGGGAGGAGAGGTTGCCGTCAGCTAGGAAGAGGCTCTTGGAGCTCTCTGGGTAAGGCAAGCATGGACCGGGCCTTGATGAGGTGGGAAGGGAGTAGAGAGGAATTCTGAGGAGCGGGGAATGTCAGTGGTCAGATCTGTGCTTTGTAAAGATCTCCTTGGCCATGATGCGGACTAGATTATGGCACAGGCAATAGAAGCTGTTAACAGCCCACATCTATGAAGTAGTTATAGGATGTCAGTCCTTGCACTAAGGGCCTTGACCTGCTTTATCTCACGTCTTTTCCTTCAAACAACTTGTGAGACAGGAATTGTTATTATTCCCATTTACCCAGAAGACATGGCAGACACTGGAGTTCCTTCCAGGTCTCACAAAACAGTTTCTATTTATATGAGAACCCAGGTAAGACAAGGGAAAAAAAAACTGATCTAAATCAAGGATTGTGGGACAGAGAACAGATGGATGCTGGAGAATTAGGGAGAAAGATCACTCTTGTTTCTGCGAGCCCGTGGGCCTTCCAAGTGTTTGTGTCATCCATCTCACATAGCTTAAGACCACCACCATGAGATCCCATTGCCTCAAGGGCTTTTCAGGTAAGTGTAGATCTTACTGCATCGTGGGCAGGCACGGGTCTGTCCACCCACCTGCCCACAGTGAGTGCTCTAATGCTTCAGTTGAAAAAGAGAATCTTCTCCTAGGCATTCCACATTCACTGGTACCTAGGGCAGGTCATTTGGTTTCCCCTCCCCCACTCTCACAGCTTAGTTCCTCTATGTTTATATTAGAACAGGTTGAACCTCATTAACTCATTATGTGTTAAATTGAAAATGCTGTTATCCAGGAACATTAATTACCTAGGTCAAAGGGCAAAGGTAGAGGTACTTTAGCGCTTAAGTGGAGCGGCTACACAGGTCAGGATAGTTATGACCCGCCACCCCCACCCCGTTTTATTTTTAAATAGGCTTAATCTTGTCACGCTCGGCAATCCAAACAAAAAAGCGCACAAGCAGGTTTCCTATTCCTCAAGGCAGGTTCTTTCACCGTCTAAACGGCTCGGAGTTCTCGGGATGGAGGCGGAAAGGCGTCCTGGCCCAGGACACCGCCCTTAAGCTCTGGCGGAGGCTGACTGCCTCCCCGTGGAAGGCGCACCGCAGGCCCTGCCCCCAAGGGTGGGGGTGGCGGTGGAGACGCCCACACCTCGCGCCTCTGCCCCAGTACAGATGGGCAAGTGGCAGAGGCGCGCAGAGCTCTGTCACTTATTTATTCCTGTCTCCACCGGGTGCGCTGTCCCTTTAAAAGGGGACGCTGGTGCTGGCTCCGCGTAACACCGGAGCCGGCAGCTTGTTGATTTCAGAGCTGGTGAATTTCACATTGTTTCCACTTCACTTTCCCTGCCCTGGGGGAGGCTCCGCGCCGCTCCGCCACCGCCTTCGCCTCTGCCAGCTAGGGCCAGGGGAGGGCAGGGACCTGCAGCATCTCCGGCGGGCGTGGGGCCGGCGGAGAGGGTGTCGGGGCCACACGCGCACCCTCGCTGCAGCCCGGCTCCTCCCGAAGCCCGGCGCCCGAGCGCACGGAGCGGGGGACCGCCCGCCTGGACGCCCGCCCACGGGCCGGGGCCGAAGCCCGGGAGCCGGCGCGGGGAGGAGGCCCGGGGGGCGGGGTGGGGGGCGGGGGTGGGTGCTGCCGCCGCCGCGGAGCTGCTGCTCGGCGCGTTTTGCATGAAGATGGCGGCTCCCACCGCCAGCAAGGCAGCCTCCCTGGGCTGTAACAACAAGCCTGCGTTCCCGGAGCTGGATTTCAGGTCGGGAGCGCGGGTGGAGGAATTGAACAAACTCATCCAAGAATTCACGAAGCACGACCAGCGGGAATACGACGACCAGAGAGCGCTGGAGATCCACACGGCCAAGGATTTCATCTTTTCCATGCTGGGTAAGGAGCAAACGGGGGAGGTGTGTGCGTGTGATGGGAAGCGGACGGGAGAGCCCACTGCCCCCTCTCCGGCGCTAGCCTTGTCCGTTTCCTTCCCGGAGCCCGGGGATAACCGGTCTGTGTTCCGCCCCCTCCCTCCTTCCTCCGCCGCTAGCCGAGCCGCCTTCCCTCCCCTCCTTACTGTACTTTGTGCAGGGTGCCCCTTCTCCCCTCGGATCGACTGCTCTTTTGTTAATTGCTCGGCCGCCGGGGGCTGGCAGGCAGGTGAGGCGTTGGAGCTGTAACGTCTCCCCGCTGGGGAAGCCGCGCGGCGCAGGTGCGACCCCGAGGCGCTTGCTCCACGGAGGGAGCTGGCTCCCGGAGGCTCGGCTCGGCTGCTGCGCACCGGCCGGGGGCTCGGCGCCCGAGCGACAAGTCGCTCCGCCCGTCCTGCGGCGCGGCGCTGTCACGCCTAGCCCCCGGCGGCCAAACTTGTGGGGTGTTCCCGAGTAACCCGCCCAAGTAGTCTGGGAGCCCGGAGTTCCTGCAACTTTGGTTTGCCAATTGACTTCCCTTTGAAGCGGTCGGAAGCATTTCCGGTGGCGTCTCCTGCTTGTTGCTCAGCCGGGAATGCCTACTTCCCAGCTCGAAAATGACCCAGTGCGGAGCTCTGCCCGCCGGGGCGCGCCGGACCCCTCCTCTTTGTGCATTGTCCTTGCGCCGGGCGGAGAGAGGTGCCCCCTTACAGTCTGGGGCCGGGGAATGCGCCGCCCGCTCTCAGCCCCCTGCCCCTTGCCTACAGGTCCGGGAAGACTGTTGCGTGCCCAGTAAAAGGGAAATAACCCGGAGGGTTTGGCAGCCCGAGCGCCCCCCGCTGTGTCCGGCCGCCGGGATTCTCGCTGCCGAGCTGCAGCGTGGAGCTCCAGTTGGGGTAGCGGCGCCTGTGGTGCCACCGTGGCCGTCTAGCGGCGTGCGGTCCCGCGTTAACACCCGCAGAACTGGGCTTTGCCGCGGTGCGCTCCGCGCGTGCCTCCGTATGCGCTCCACAAATGCATCCTCAGCCGGTTGCCCAGGTAGTGGAAAATTTGATTTGCAGAGATCTTTCGTCTTCCTGCTGCAGCCTACTTCCTGGGTTTCAGCCGGCTGTGGGTTGGTTCTGGCCTGGGATGCCTTCCTCACCTGGCTCCAGTGGCTCCCTATGCAGCTGTAACACTAACGCTTTTGCAAGTTGGATGGAACCTGTTAAACCTCTGGCCGCTTGGTACCCTCTGCTCCACACCTCCGGAGTGTATCCTAGCGTGTGTATGGAGTTGAAAATCTCTTTATAGAGATACTCGCCCATTTAATTATTTAGTTGATTTAAAGGTTCTTTTTCTCTTATAAAAAAATCTGTAACCTGGCGGGTGTGCGCTTCCAAAGGGAAGCCTCCAAATGCTTCTGAGCTTCTGGCTCTGAAATGCAACTCGGTGATTGGAGGGTGGGGACGCGCACAGAGGCCCAGGGCAGTTAATGAAGTTGCCTCATCATGGCCTTTCTCCTTGGCATCGGTAAGAAAGTCTGTCATTGTGTTACTTCAGCACCCCCGGCAGATCTGGTGCCTCCTGGTCATTCACTGGGAAAAATTGTGGGTCATGGATGGTCACAGATCAGAAGATGGGAGAATGTGGGGAGGGGCAAGTTTAGGTGCTAGGCTCATTAGCAACATCCAAGCTAACCTCACAGCCAGCACACTGAATTAGCCCAAACCTTTGTCCACATATAAAGGGAGACTTATTCCAGGGTGCTTAATGTGTGCATGTGTTTTCACGTCGTGGGTGGCATTTGTGTTGACAGGTAAACGAGATTCACGTCTATTCCTTTTTAAGCACTTGACCTTGCAAGGGAAATCTTTGTTGCCCCCTGGGATTTTGGTCTTTCCACCTGCCAGAGAGAAAATTCAGGAGAGTGTCATTTAAAGCCTTTGCCCCTGTGGACACTAGAAGGCAGATGGCGAAATGAGCTTCCTGTGTATGGTGCTGCATTCATTTGCGAGTTCCTTGCTTTCCTTTAATGAGGTGCTGGCTGCTCCAGACAAGTGAAGGTTTGGCGACAGCAAGGATCCCCATGTGGCTTTACTTTTTCTGAAGCAGATTTTCGCTTGGCTCAGAAAAAAAAATCTCTTTCAGCACAGTTTGCTTCACTTGCCACAGCGCTGGGTATTTCCTGAATATATGAATGAGGTGTCTTAACGATGCCCGGCTTGTTTGTTAAAGTGGCACCTGGGTCGCGCCAGGCCCTCATTTCTGGAAGTTATTTTTCAGGGGAGGGGGAGGAGTCCTCTTGGCTTTGTTCTGGCTCTGTCTGAGCTGCACCTGAGGATTCTCGGCAGCTTGACAACGTCGTCCCCTCTCCTGACATGAAATGGCCAAGGAATTTGGTGCATGCCTCTTAATGGGGGCAGCGTGGACAATGATGCTGCCTCTGGTTGTAGGCGGATGGAGGCGTCGGGGAGCTGGCCGCTCTGTGGGAGATTGCTAGCCTAGGCTGCAACTCAAGCTTCCAGCACCCTTTTCACATGGTCTGGTTTGGAGGCAATGTAGGCAGAAGAGCAAAGCGGTGGCAGACAGTTGTGATGGTCAGCACTTGGGCATTCCCTTTCTTTCAAAGCAAGGTTCTGCCCAGGCTGTGGGGTTGCTCTGAGGCCACTGGTGGTCACCAAGGTGGCAGTGACCTGGCCTGATGTTCCGTGTACAGAGATTCTCATTCCTTTGCAGGCAGATGTTCGCTGGAATCATCTAGACTTGCTCCTTATTTCTCTACACCTTGGTCTTTTAAGGAAAATAATGGCTGTTATTATCTAGTTAATATTTGAGAGCCCAGATTGTTTGAGAGGCTGGCAATGCATAATAAACACCATTTATCAAAATTCAGGGAAATTGCCAGAGTTCATTAATGATTTAATAATATTTGGTATTTGCATAACGTCTCTGCCAGCTCTTTTGTTATCTTCATTCCCTGGCGAGGTTGGAAGAGACTCGTTGTGTCTCTACTGAATACATGTGGAGTGCGGGGGCGGAGTAGGCAAAGACTGGAAAAGTCTGTTGGGAGAAAAGTAGTCAGTTCAC